TTTTTTTTTCAATGGTTAGGTTAGGATTAGGTTGTCGAATCCATAGGTTAGGTTAGGATTAGGTTGTGAAATTTTTTATAGGTTAGGTTATAGGTTGCCAAATATTGGCAACCTGCAGGGCTCTGCTTCTGTCTACACTGTAAGGTTGGAAATTATTTATAGAAGTGCTCGCCAAATTGAAAGAGTACATACGGGAATTTCCCGAGGATTTTCGAGCTTATAGAAATCGAATTTCCACCAATCTAGAAAATTGCCGTTGAATTTCCATGAATAATTTTCAAGAAAGTAGAAATTCCTTTTTAATTTTCTATAAACTGAAAATTCCTTGGCGGATCTGCAGCGAGTGGCAACGCGACTAGGTTGTATGGGGGTTGAATGCGCTCATGCTTTTGGGGAAGCTCTGGTGAACGTCTCCGATTTTCGGACCGTCATGCCGAAACTTCACGCCACTCCTGTCTCTGCCTAAATCAAAATTCTTGCTGGCATAGGTAGAATTGTGATCTAAAGTGGAAACTGTCAAAGTTGATTTAAGTGTAATTGAGTGTCTTTACGTAACGCTCTTATACCTACACTGATCGCAAAACAAAAAGATGAATAAGTATTTGGTCTAGAAATTCCTGGGCGAATTTCACTTTCTAGAAAATAGCCGCGGATTTTCTAGTTTACAGAAAATCAAAATCGAATTTCTAGATTCTTGGAAATTATTTATAGAAATTCGATTGATTTTCTATAAACTGGAAATTAATTTAAGATTACAGTGTATGATATTCTATTTATCGCAGGCGATTTCAGTGCTGACCCTTCTGACACGCCAATGCACCAAGCTCTATGTGATATTGGAGCCGTCTTTTCGTTGGTTCACACTCACACGATTGTTACTACAACAAAGGATTCGTATTTAGTTTACTAACTCTATCGTTTTGTTTTGAAAAAGCCCAAAAGTCTTTTAATCAAGTCCCTATCGGCAAATCTATGCATTTACGTTATTTTTTTCATTTGACATTTCTATCGCACGCCCAAAAATCAAATTCAAATATATTCGTGATTTTGCTTCGGGTGATTAAACCCTACTTTAGTCCATGTTAGAAACTATTTCTCTCTCTTTGCATGACGCTGTTGATCCTTCTGACAGTGTAAGAGTCTGGCAGACACATGTTAACGCCTGCATTGAGATGTAAACTATACTCCTTTTAAGGTTTTAAGTGAGATGGTTAAGTCAGTTAAGAGAGAGAGAGAAATTGAGTTTTAAGGAGACACCATGTGTTATCATATGTTTAGAAATGTGACTATTTTTTGTCTTTCCTGGTCTATGTACACCGTTATGTTCTTTTCTATTCTTCTTATGTCATGTTATGTCCTGTACTTTTTTCATCTGTTTCTCGTATGTTCAACTATATACTATAGAGTCGTATGCCGCAATTAGAACACGAGAAATTTCAAGTTGACTCTTTTCTAATTTTTGAAGCCATTTCTAAAGGTGGAAAAAGCATTTTTAGTTTACCGAGTAGAGGAGAGTTAGGGCTATCGATCTATGTAAAAATATTTAAGATTTGTCTGCTCATTTCTTATTAATTAAGACAAGAATGAAGGCTACTATGAATTCTTCGATATAAATAGTGCGTTTTTACGTAATTATTTGGATTATTAGTTCATGATAAATAAAGTGATAGAAAACTATTCAGGTTTATATTTGGAAACCTAACAGTGTGAGGAAACTCTAAACAGTCCATCTTATTCTGTTTTTCAGATTTGATGTCACTGTGAAAAAAAAGCTATTATGAGTTAAAAAAATGAAATGAAACGAGAATGCCTGTCTCTGTAAAATGGATTGTATTTCCTGTTTTGTCAACAGTCTCAAATTTAGTTTTATTTGCAGACCAAAATGAAGATACTTTCAGAAAAATGGTTTTTTGTTCACATTAGCGCTTATTGAAAAGAAGCTCAATAAGCTCCGCTAGAGGCAAATGCTTGAAGCTTAAGCTCTGGAGCAGACCGATTTCTGATCTAACACCGGCAGAACTTAGCATAAGTAAAATGCTTGTATTTTATTATAAAAAATACATGGGAAAGTTCAAAAAATGAATGTGGGGTGGATTCGAGGAGTAACTACTAGAACTGATTCATGGTCATTGCTTACTTACAATTTCTTTCGACGAATCCGCTGGCTAGTAGCTCCAGTTGAGGTTTTAACGTGTTTGCGAGTGATTCGCTCGATGGCAGCTTCGTGCATGTCTCATTTACATAACGTAGTAATGGCGAAAACTGACTAGCCGCCATCATCATTGCACAAAGTTGGAGTTCGCCCAGTTGCCTTCGATGAATTTTGCAGAGATTAGCTGCTCGTAGATAGCCATCGGCATGAACACACTCCCTGATCACCTCTTGCGTCAGACGTTTCAAATTTCTGGGCAATGGTACACCTGTGGCTCTCGTCAGATTATTGATTTGACCAGTAAGAAAAGTGTAAAACGGTTTACCAACAGCATTCAGTGTTACTTGGCGGTTACATGCCGGATTTTGACATAGATTCTTCTTGAGTACGTCGTCAAGATGTCGTTTTCCTTCTTTTGCAAGATCTTTGTATTTTACCATGCATTCGGGACTGATGAGACCACTACCGGATAGTCGAAAACAGTCGACAACGAAGAAAAGTGTAGCATATAACACTAAGAAATAGAAGATTGACGCCATTTTCGATTCTATAATAAACACATACAGTACTTCACAAAAGTAAGGTCACCCGATAACTTAAGAATCATGATAGCTAAAGTATGAAAAGAGAACAACAGGACTGAATATATCAGTTAGTGTACATATTTTTACAACACGAGAGAATCTGAGAGACAAAATTGACAAAAATGTATGCCTCCACAGGGAAGCGAATTCAAAGACATCAGCTTGCGAGAACAATGCTCTTCCCAGAGCCACGAAGCTTTCAACGAACATCATTTTTTAAGCGAATGATTTTAACTCTCAGATTCTTGAAAGGACAGTACCGTCACCAATGGGTAGTAGAACTGCCAACCTCTTACGAGGAAACCTATCAAAGTGATATCTTCCAATTTTGTTCGTTCATACGTCGATCGATAGAGAGTATCGAGCTAGTATAAAGCCTAAAAGGATATCCCCCCCATGACTTTTGAAGATCCGTTTTCTGGGAAATCAGTTTTTCCGGCGTTCTAAAAAATAACCCAAACCTTTCTTAATAAAGCATAGTTATAGCCTGCACATTTCTGAAAATGAGACATCACTCAGCTCGATATGACCTTTCTTTGCAAAGTTGTAGAATTTACAAGTAAAGTCCTAAATGTTCATTTGTCGGCTCAAAGCTACGGAAAAAAGCAGAAACTAATTTAGGGCTTTTCTTGTAAATTCTATAACTTTGCAAAGAAAGGTCGTGTCGAGCTGGTAGATGTCTCATTTCAATCAGAAATGTGCGGGCTACAATCATGGCTCATTAAGAAGGATTTTGTTTATTTTGTAAGAGTTTCCGATGAACTGGTTTTCAAGAGTCATAGGGAAAAATCCTTTTAGGCTTCATAGTAGCTCGATACTCTATCGATCGACGTATGAACGAACGAAATCAGAAGGTATCAACGGAATAGATTTCCTCGTTAGGGAGAATATTTTTACCCACTTGACGGAGATTTTAATCGCCTGTTTCATGCCGCTGTGTTATGGGGGCTTCACAAGAATGAGCTTTTGCAGCCGAGTCTCAGCCATTAGCACATGATTTTTGACAGAAATGAATATGCATACCTATGTAAGCGAACATGAACTACAAAACTTGCATAGTACCATCTTTCTGATTTTAAAGTCGATCTTAGAGAAAGAATCAGAGTCTACCTAATATTAATTGAACTGCAACGTTTTCGATCGAGATTCTGTGAGAGAGGGTGCGTCTTGCTGAGTAAAAGAATAATTTTGTGAGAAAAAGTGTTTTTACTGATTAGTAACTTTTAATTTAGCAAATTCTGCACAAATGTCTCTAATAACAACATACTGTTAGTTATCAATACAGATCTTCACATTGCGAGATTTCGCTCGTCCTGGATTTGAATAAAGATTTGATAGTTTATAATCAATATCAGCATTTATTACTTCTTGCTTCAACGCAGGATATTCAACAGAGCATCTGTTTCTAGTTTGTTTTTAATACAACACGAAGCGCTAAATGAACGTTCACATTCATTTGCTCCAAGAGAAAATGTACATAATATTTGATAAAATAAAAACCATTCAGAAGCTAAATATACACCAGCGCAGGTTAGCCATTGTGATAGGTCAATGATGCCCTTGATGTTTTTTGTTAAATTGTTTCAGTTGGTTCATTTGTTGGATTACTTTTACTATTAATGCATCTTCGCTTTTCCTCTGAAACTTATTTATCAGTTTCAACATGTTCGTATTTAACTTCGTTGAGGTAGAGTACTACAGCAATAAAAAATGAACTTGTTCTAATACATTTTGCGATTAGACGGATTTCAACTATTGCTAATTCACATACTAATTATAATCACTTGCTGTAGTATATCCTTTCGTCATCCGTATCTGATAATTCACATGAAGTTTGTACAATATGTCCACATAAAATTAAATATTTGATAATGATATATTCATCTAGTTTCACTCACTAAGATTCATTTTATTATCATCTTTGGCATCGTTATTAATCTGTTGTGCTTGTTTTAATATTGCAAATCGATTTGAACTGTCGCTTAGAAATATTGATGTTGAACGAACTAATTTTTAGTGAATGTTAAATCGGTGGTATCACTAACTGATAAACGTAATAAATGAGAGCGACAATATTAATATACAGCAAGTGGAGAATAACTTGCTTGAAGTTGATATTTTAATGCTGATGCTCCAACATAATATTGATAAACAACCGTTGATCTTAATTCTGTCTCTTTCTGAATATCATTTAATAATTTAAATAATAAAAACTTTGTATAAATCCTTAACGCAGAAGAGAAGAGAAAAAGAAAGAACGAAATTCCAGATTATGCTCGTAACAACAGTAAAGTTGATACTAGAAAAATCTGTTTTATTATTATTTATTTATTGAAATAAATTTAATAAATTTGTACATTCTTGGTCTGAAAAGCGAGCATACTACTTCCGTTTGTAATTCAACGGGTGTAAGACGAAATAACTCTTGATTAATTTTTTTGTTTCGATATGAAAAAACAAATAAACAATTGTCTAATACTTTTTATATCCGTTGTTGCATCCATTAAAACTGTTACATCGTTCGTCTGATAAGATTATTTAACTGTTCATTCCAAAGTCAACCTTTCACACTTAACAATCATTCACTGCTGCTCTCACCGCTCCACAATAAACCTGTTTATTATTAGCAATTGACAACTAGTTTGTAATTAACGTAGAAAATATTTGTTGCTTGAAGTTTAACTAAATCTTCGAAATTACATATGCAAAATCTTGATTCAATATAAACAAAACAATTCGAGCTAAAGCTCGCAAATATTCAGTTGTACAATTTTCTATATTTTTACAATTTAACGGACCAATAACTAAAATAATGAATATACCATCGAGACCTTTATGTTAACAATTTATAATTCATTAATGAACCGTTGTGAACATAACAATCTTGACGTTGGTATTACAGCAATAGCTTTTTTGGGCAATGTTCCAATTTCTTCTCGTATGACTACGTCATCAGCTGATGCATCACAATAAGTTGTTGATGTGAGTGATATGATTCTTTCGTCTTCATTAGCAATGAATGGTTATCATGAATATCATTTAACAAATCACTTTTAGTATCTTGGATCTTTTACAATGTCGTGCAAAATTTGTGAGCATGATGAGCTCCGAACATATAGGAATTAGACATTACTAGAAATATTTCTGTATGAAAAGAGATTATTATTTCTAATAGGTAGAATTTTCAATAGAAAAAGCATAAACGAAAGCAGCGATTTGAATAATTTTATTTTAAATTCCGACGTTTCGATTTATTTAAAGAAAAAAAGCTTAATTATTAAGAAGTTAAAGTTAATTAAATGGCACTGGTCACTCGGTTCGAATGATCATCTTTCCGTAAAGCTTAAATCGGAAAAATGAAAACGATAATAGTAAGCAAATGATGATGGTGAAAATGAGATTATACACACATATATAATAATGTCAATATTATTCTCATTTCTTTTATTATTCTTTAGCTTATTTTAATTCTTGAATAGATTAGAAAGTAAAAAGTGAAAGATAGTAAGAAAGGAATAGAAAGTACAAGAACTGCACAGCACGTATATAGCGAGAGATACTTAGAAAGTTATAGATGCATCATCCGATAAAAAACTCATTGTTGAAACAATACTTAACACGTCTAGACTGTCAGACACAGAGGATATATAAAAACTATAATCGACAGAAAATAAAAGGGAGACTGTTTTAAACAGTCAACTATACGTAATACGTATTATTCTATACGTAATATTTGTACTTTATATATCAACTACTTTATTTCCTATGCAACATTCAATACATTTGGGCAAAAGATTTAGTTATACTGCATAAGTTACTCAGTCTTAACTCGATTTAAGATGAAGATCTGGAACTTGGAAACTTGATAAATGTATAAATATCATTCTCAAAAAGAATCGATTAAAACAAACTTACGTGACTAAAGTAGAAAAGAAGAACCATAAGAAGAGGGGAAAGCAATGGGAATAAAGTTGAGGACATTATAGATCAGAAACTAAGTATATAATAAAAAGAGAAAATCTGTTGGGAAAAACAATGATACTGTCATATTAGGAACGAGGAAATTATGTAAATACATGCATAGAGATACGGTATAAAGAAAAACTGTGATAACATACCGATGGTAGCTGTTCATGATATGAAATGACAGGCCTCATTTTTTTCTTTTCTACAAAATTTATCTCTTTTCTGATGTTTTGACATTTATTTTGTATCACTCAGTACAAATAAGGGAACATAGAACAATAATTATAGACGGAATTGATGAGAGTCGATCTGTAAAAGAGTATGTCTGTTTTTTATGGTATATAAATATTTCCTCATATTACCATTATATGCATAAATTTCATACGCTGGGGAAAAGAATAGAGATATTACAAGACTGTCTATATGCCTGTTTCACGGAAAGAAATAAGTAGAAAAGAGACATTCAATGTTACTGTAGCCGAGCATAATTTTATTGTTTATTGTAACTAGAAATATTTGTAGCTGAAAATTTGATGCAGAAACTGATAATCAATTTTTCTAGCGGAAAGATTTCGATTTTCTTGGAATCACTTGTAACACTCGTAAGAAAAAAATGCTCGACAAATGTTCACTGTCATATGCTGTTAAAAAAACAACATATTTTACAGACAGGAGACAATAACCGGTTTGTGACAGAGAACTTTCATGAGGATCTGATAAAACTACGGTCGAAATATTAATAGCTTCCGATAGTGTACCGGCACCTACTCAGGTCCCTGCCTGGATAGTCAGTGCTCAGACTTCTCCAGTATCCACTTATCCATTTTTCTCTATTTTTACCTAATATTAAAAAACGCATCACTTCGTCAAAATGGATCACAATGATTTGAGAACCTTATAATGACGCAATTTTTAGTACTTAAATAAGCTTCAAATCCTTATATTTCCTCACGAGGAAACCTATCGAACTGTTACCTCGCTTTTTCAGGCAAACCCGGTGGGTTATAGGTATTCAATCACGCTGATTCTCAATATGAACATCATAGCTGCTCTTAGGCCTTCGAAGACCCGGTTTTTTGAAAAATCAGTTTTTCAGAAACTCTTAAAAATAACCAAAACCTTTGTCAATGGGTCTTGACTGTAGCCCACACATTTCAGATTAAAATGCGACATCTCCCAGCTCCACATGATCTTTCGTTGCAAAGTTATAAAATTTAGAAGAAAAGCCCTAAATTGTTTTCTCCTTCTTATTTCTGTAGCTTTAATGAATTTTATCGTTTGTCGAATATAATATAATTAATGGATGGATGTGCATGATGACACTGCTAAGAATGTAGCAACATTACAGATTAAATATGTGAGGCATGATTAAGGCTTTTTTCTTTTCTTCCTACTTCCATTTTATGGAATTATATCGACGCTCTTGATAAATAGAGCTTAACAGTGCAAGTTTATGAAGCTACGAACTGATTACAATAATCATTGAAATACTACTGTCTGTTGTACGAAAGAAAGAACGCGGATCTTTTTTGAGTTATGTTTGAACGCCCGGTTTCGTCAAACATGAAGGACCGTTTTAAGAGACGATTCGCTAGCCCATCAAGAAATCAAGTCACGAGTGAAATATTGATTTATACTTTTTATTCTGACAAAGTTTTTCATTTTCAAAAGACGGGATGCAATAAGAACGAGGATCAGCCCCATTTCAGATCATCTCGAAAGGTACCTAGAATAAAAGAGCGTACAGTTTTATGGGGTTCCACACCCTTGGTTCCCCTTCTCACCTCATATCTGTCAGAAAATCGATCAGTTTTGAACAATAACTCCGCGTGCCCATTCCGAGGCCCTTTTCGTAATTTTCTCAGAATATATAAGTTGCAAAAAAGTTACATTCTCAGAATTAAAAAATTATTTTACTATATAGTTTATTAGTCCATCGTATCCTGATATTGTACTATCAAATTTTGCATATATACCAACAGTTCCACCACGTTTAGGTGTATTGATTTGACGTTTAAATATTCCAGTGACCTTGTCATACCCTTCTTCATCTAAAAATTCTTCATTAACAATTACCATCACACTTTGTGCACTAGGAATAAAACAATGAATTGTTATTTTTGAAGCCCGTTTAATTATTCCATTCAATGGTTCAAATAGTTGACACATCTTTTGCATAAACAAAGCATACTGTGTAGGAAATGTAAAATTTTGTTGTTGAACATCAACATTTAAATTAAACTCAACAGCACCATGATAATAACCGGTATCAATTGATTGTTTTGCATAAACTGTTAATTCATAATTCCCAACACCATTTGGTGCAAATAAACATTGCCACAATTTATTTTTATTATCATATTGTATAAAATCTCCATTGATTATTTTCTCTTTATTGCGTTTAAGGTCATTTATTTGCGACGTTCGATAAAAAACTTGTATTTCTGCCAGGTCTTTCGCCATCTATTTGACTCTTTCCGATTTTTTATAATCGGTTTTGATTGATATCATTAGATCCTTCTAATGACGGAACACCCGGAGGTGGCCAATCGCTTTTTCCTTAAAACATATACGATTGTGGGTAATCTTTGATGCTGATCACGAATCTGATATTCGTTTCTCCTGCTAGGCCTTTCTGGAATAGGTCTCTGAAATCCGGGCGTCTGAAGACGCGCTATGAACCTTCAGTTGAACGTATTTTAGCATTGCCAGATTGTAGAGCACGTTGAGTTATTTGCGTTGAAAACATTCCAGAATCAATGAATTAGTTTTCGAAGAGATAGAAAAAATTTACTTTCTAATCCATCGAGGAACCAAAATATTTTAGGTTTTTGAATCCTAAATTTTTTCTATCTCTGCGAAAACTAATTCATTAGTTCTCGAAACTTTTCCACATAGTTAATTCAACGTGCTCTACAATCTGGCAGTGGCAAAATATGTTCAGTTGTAAGTTCACAGCGCATCTTCGGACAACCAGATTTCAGTGACCTACTCCACAAAGGTTTGACAATAGAAACGGATATCAGATTCGTGATTCGCATCCAAAATTATCCACAATCGTGTATATTTTAAAGAAAAAGTGATTGGACAATTGGTGAGGTTCCTTTGCAAGATGAGACGTTCCATATGGATGATCTTTTTTATTTTACACGATAAATGAATATTATCGGGTGCTTTTATTAATATTTCTGAACAAAATTCATTTGATTTCATTTCTGCCTGACAAGTATTTTTTGGTGATATTATTTTTAAATTAAAATCAAAAAAATATGAATAAACTTTTGGTAATATTAAAAATTGTTTCATTGTTAGTGGTTTCAGTAATAATTGATCTTTTGAATTTTCTGGTAAATGACTGTAAATTATTTGTTCTGGTCGAATACAAAAATAAAAGAGATTTAATTCTTTTTTATATTGCCGTTTATTATCTATATGACCAGAACCCCATGTTGAATCAATTAAGTATAAATGATGATTTATTTCAATTGTATTCCAAGCATGATCACTATGATCAAATTTTTTAACTTGATTATTTACAGAATAACCAAAACCTTTTGTATTACCACTAATTTCATGACATGATAATTGAATACAATCAGCCAATGTTTTAAACATTGTTGCAAATCCCGAACAAACACCTTTTCGTGTTTTAAATACACTTTCAATATCTTGATTAGGTAAACGATCACTAAAATAGGAAACAATATCATAGTCAATATTTTGTGATATCCAATAAAATATAATCCATGCTTGATCAAGAAGATATTTATTAAAACAAAATTTTATCATTAACGATTTTAATTCATTCACAGATGTCGGTTTCCATTTATCGATTGTTGTTCGATAGAATTCATTGTTAATGGCTTGTTGTCTCGATTGATAAAATCGATCATTGAATGCATCTGAATCTATCGGCACGCCAGTTATTTCATCATCATCAATTAACACAGGAAATTTTTTAATCGGAATAATTTTTTTATTCGACATGGGTCGACATGGTAGTGAATTTGTTTTGTTTGTCAAAACATAGTCGTTATTGTTGATATTACCGGCTATTTTCTCTTTCATATTTATAGGGATTGGTGAGTCAATTCTTGCTATCAACGGCTGATCATCAATGTCGTCTTCGAAGTCATCTTCATACACGACATGAACAACATCGTCCACGAAGTCATCATCATAGAGTCGATTCGCAAATGATGTCAACACGTTTTTTTTACTTTGATGATATTCTCACACTATATGAACTTTAAGTCCCTCAGTGCTTCCTCATCCGTAGAAGATATCGTTATTAAGGTAAAATTTCATCATCAGTATCAAAATCATCTTCATAATAATTATCATAATGATCGATATTGTTTGAAGTAGGAACGGGCCTACTTTTAAAATTTCTGACTGCTGACTCATGTTTTGGTTTTGCTATTGATGATGTTAGTAAATTGGCTATTGGTGTCAACAAAGAATTATTCTTTCTAGTCAAAATATCGATTTTCTTTTTTTTTAGACTAGCTGAATAAATGGATGTTGTTGACTGTTCATTATTTTCATCGATAATCGACATTTCTCGTGATTTCGAACGTGTATATTCAGCTGACATCTTTCGACGTTCTCCTGCTGTATTTGAATTTTGATATTTATGTTTTTGATAAAGCTGAATAAATTGTTGAGAATTATTTAATGATGGAAGCTGAACAATAAGATTTTCAACATCAATCTTTTGTCGAAGACCGAAGGCCATTTTTTTTAAAAAAGAAGTCTCTTTTCAGTTTATTTTATTAGTTACATAAAAGAAAAAAACGAAGAATTCCAAGGAATGACATACCGAAATATTCTTTTCTGCAAGTTACACTACTTCAAAATTTTCCAGTAAAGAATAAAAAGAACAACGCACGTATAATGTAAACAAAAGAGGTAATTCATATAGAAACAAGAAAAATGCGAATACCTTTATAGCAATGACATCATCACCAACAGCAACAGAAAAAAATAAGCATTTTGAAAGCTTCCTTTTCAAACTCTTCTGTATGACCAATTGTAACTAATCTTTCAAAAAAAGACACAACCTTTTATTATATAAGTCGATAGTTTTCAGAGTTTCCAATCATATCAAAACGGACATATATTGATTTTAACTGTGTGTATGAAGACAATTGTTAAAAAGCCGATAAATACTTGTATTCCTATCGTTATCTGGACGGCCTGACCAGCTAACTCTACCTGTGTATGTAATTCTGTGACGTTTTTCTATGATTTTGTTTTATTTGCAGAAATTTTTGAAAAAGTCAGAACTCAAAAG